TCATGATATTATTATTTTATAAATTTAACTATTCATACTTCTATGATTAAAAAGAAGTAATACAAGAATTACGATGAAATCAATGAATACACAAATAAAATTGCAATAATAATACACTTAGTTGTATTTATATCAGTATTATTGTAACTATAGTATGACTTTTATAATTAGATAAATAAAAAATACCTAGTGAATTGAACTTATTTTTAAAATATTCATAGAATTTAATAACGTGAGCCTATATTTTTATTTTGTATTTTTTTGTACTTTTTTTTTTTTACAGTTTTTCTGTTTAATAGTATTCCTTGTGCCCGCTTACTATATACGCCTATAATAAATTAATCTGAAAACGTTTTCTCAGCGGCATGTGCGAAATCTCTAGGATCTTAAATTCAAGTATAATAAAGCCTTCTTAAAAACACCTCTAGAAATCAAAATACGACACCTCTTAGTGTACACACGCATAACCCCTTTTAAACGGATTATACTTCACTATACTTTGCGCAACCCGAACATAATAAACTTAGTATTCCTACAGTAAGTTTCTTTAACCCAGTGAGGAGGGTGGATAAATAATAAACGCTGTCACCCTAGGTGGATCTCCCCCACGATGACGTTTTCAGAAATCCAAACATTCATAATATATATAGTGGCAACTGACCGACCATAACATCAACAAAAATGTGTACAAAATATAAACCGCAGGTATTTCGTAATGATGGACATCCACAATTTACTTATTTCTGGAGTATATATATTATTATTAGTACAGAGCCATTGTGTTTTCGCTCAAATTACCCAATATGTACTAAAAAGCCACAATGCACCCAGTTTGCAATGTGAACACGCGTGTATACATAATATATATATATATCAGTTAGGATAATATCATGGCAATTGTATATACAAGTAAATATATTATTATATTACATCATAGTGTTATTTAGTGCTAGATCGAGGGAATTATTATACATAGATAGTACCAATATACAATATATACACATATTATATCGTGATGGTAGCAGCATCCTAATCTGTAGCGGATCGTGCACAATAATTTCGGAACCTCTGAAGTAATCCCAGTGCGGTGTGCTGGTCAACGTCGACCCTACCCTCCGATGCTATCGAGTTTTCAACAGAGATGCGCCGTGTCTATTTACCGATATATATATATATATATATATATATATATATACATACGTACATACACATGTATTAATATTTCTATGTATATATCCATATATATAGATCATCTGTTTGCACGAATTTTCATGTACCTACATTATAGTATAACGTCAGACAGTACCTATATAGTAGTATAGTTATATGTAGTGTATTACTCACGTGCGTGTATGTATTGTGAATAATATCGGTTACCAAAGAGGAATGGGTTCTATCGTATCGAGACAGTTGAATAGAAGCGGCGGTGGTGAAATGTGATTTTGGTCGGTGATATAAGCTGAGAGATGGTTTTGAATACGTTATTCACCTAAATCCGCGAGGTCCTGAGTACCTACCTTGTACATCGTGCAAATGTAATTTTATATGTAATGACATACATACCCGTGATGTATACTATCGTAGTATTGCTAATAATTAATATTTTGAAGTAAATTATGATTTAAAGGCTTCAATGATATCGGACATCAAAATAATATAATGCTTGTACATAGCCGATGTCATTTATTATTTATTAGGATATTATTGTAAATAGCGTGCAAAAGTCGTATCACTGTAGTATTTTAATTTAACCGATCATTCGTTTCCGGAAAAAATTGTGGAAGTTTATTCTTTATTATTTTCCATATTTGTAATTTAAACATGAAATCTTTCAAGTTTACCTATAGATAATGTGAATTTGTTGCATGAATGCGTACACTGTGCTCAACGTACAAGTAATCGCGTGTAATAAAAATCAAAAATGTATATTAAATAGGTACAGTACAGTGGTTACAATTTTTATATGATTTGGCATTGCGCCGTATGCAAATACAATGGATTAAGATACAGCGCATATTATTATTATTAAAGTACAACACTTCAATACCGTATCATTCAAATTATTATTCTAATGTACGTTCCATGCCCACTTTATGTTTGTAAATGCGTCAAAACAATTTCTTTGGTTGCGATAAAGTAAATTGATTCAATAATAAACCATGAACAACTATAACATAATTTACTATTAAACTTATTAAATCAATTAATACGATAAATTAAACGATAATCTGTAGTGATTAGGTATGCAGTTGCTTATTTCATTTTCACGTACATCGTAGGTACTATACCATAATATAATCGTAAACACAGTGTACGTAACTGTAAGTTAAATAATAATTATCACAGTGGAAAGGATTTCAATAATAATCAATTAAAACTGATTTATTTTTTTATTTAGTATGCTTCATTTTTTTATTTATAGTATAAAACTGAATTATTATAATATCGATATTTTACGAAGACAATTTTTTAGAAATACTTATAGATTATAATCTATAAATATTTTGTACATCAATCAAGTCAAAAGTTAAATGTTTTTATTAACATTTTTTAATTGTTTAATTTATTACATTTTTAGAATAAAATGTATTGTTATTTAATTCTTAGTTTATTTTTGTATAAAATAAAATTAATATTAAACATCATGTTCCTAAACCGTATGTTATAAATGTATAATCTTAAAAATTACGGAATTGAGTATTATTTTATACGATAATATTTTACATCACGAACTTGTGTTGAACGTTATACTAATATTCTATGTATAATATACAAACATAATGTTCGCATATCATAAAATGTTAAAAACCAATAAAAAAGTATTTATATATACGATGTTATACTAATTTTGGCTTATTAGTTTATTACCCATAGGACGATAGTGTATATACTATATAGTTACTCGATTTAGTAAAGCGACGTACTTCGTGAAGAGAGAATATAATATTATAATGAAAGTCGATTGGTTAGCTGTTATAACAGACTCTTGTTTTTTTTTTTTTTTTATATATAACGAAAATAATTTGGTAAAAAGCACTCGAAAAGCACAACCAGTTGATCTATTTTTTACCGTTTAAAAGCTTTTTATGTCTGTCGTTCAAGTGCTCGCACTTTTTAAAGAAAACACAAAATAGAGACGTTTAACTGGTGAAAATAAATTAAATAAATAGAGCAAATATAGCCGTCTCGAGTGTTAGCAGGTGGTTATTTCTACCCTATTTTTCATTTTTCTCTCACAATTACGACCGAGTTACACTTACACTTACGATAGATTAGCTTAGCTTTTAATAAATATGTTGCATAACGTGTGCATTTTTCGAAGTAAAAATATTATATTTTTATGCAAAGTGGCTGCATGTCGAGGGAAAAAAACTTTTAAGCCACCAGTTGATGGATTCTAGATAAAATCCGTAGTATTACTACTTAGCACTAATATTACGAGTATTCTATGGTAGGTAGTTATTTTAAAATAAAGTATCATCATTAATTTTTGAATTAACGTTTTTTAAAACTTTTTTTTTACATAATTTGAACAACTTATTCCTAAGTAATAAGTAAAATAAATAATACATAGATATTACTTTTTTATCGTTATAATACACGTTTACATACAGTTTTGTACTTTAAAAATGCTACTTAGTAATTATTTCAAATTAAGTGAGAAAAACATTTTAAATAGCGTTAATTGTTTTTTGAAATAATTAGTGTCTTAACGTTAATTTAAATCACCAATATGTCTATCATTTACTAGTGAATTATATTTTATTTGTATCTCTTAACATCCTGTTAGGTCTTTTTTCGAATCACCTGGTATGTATTCTCAGCTCTTTTAAATTAATTTAATCACAGTTATTATATCTAATATTAGACATTAAATGCGATAATATTTGTATTATAAAAATAAAGTTTATTAACTTCAATATAATTGTGGTAGTTCATTTTCAAAAATATACCTCGAACATTAGTTGGTTGATTATCGTAGCTACTTCTATACTTATAATAGTATTATTAAATATTTATTGTAACGCTATAACTTATAAGTTTAACGATATCATTAGAAAAATTGTATTATTGCTTTTTTACAATGATTAATTTTGAAATAATTAATCTTTATTGATTGTAATAATTTAAAATTTTTATCTTTGTATATTGTGTAAATTATTTTACTCTAATTTATTCGATCAAAAATAACTTACATATCAAATGCAATTAATACTAAACATTTATAAATAAATATCTAAAAATACATTTATTTGAGCTTAATAATCATTTAAATATTATTCTATTACAGTATTTAAGTCCTATTATGAAATATTAATTGTAAACATTACTTGAAATAAAAAAAAAAATATATATATATATATATATAATATTTATTACTCATATGCATAATTATATGGCGGTGTAATAAGTCACACATTTTTTTTTTTTTTTTTTACGAGTTTTAAACGTTGTAAATTTAAGTTTAGGACACTAATTAAAAATATTTACGATTAGCTTGAAAATGATGATTTATCAATCTTATTACGCGCAAATGCAAAATGTTGAAAAAAATATGTTTTTTTTCAGACTTTGCGTGCACGGAATGAGTAATGAACATATTTTTACAAGTGTACTTTAACTTACGCACACTTTTGAGATATACAACGAATTTCAGTTTTTCTCGCCGTGGTTAAAACTGTGTCAATAGTTTTAATTTTTCAAAACATATCTAATTCAAACCGCACATATTTCGCAACAAAAAAATCAAAAAAATTTGAGTAAAACCGTAAAATAACGTGATCACGGGACACCAGAACCGTATTATAACGATATACGTATCATAAACGCCGTGTAAGCATATCATATCTATTTTTAAATGGGAATAGTTTCGCGATGCGCCGAGGCCGCAAATCGTGTAGTAAACATAAACAAAAAACAATAAACAATATTGTATTACTAGAAAAATATACTATCATAATTATTGTATACACGAGCGGAGATGTAACGAGAAAACTAACCTGAAATCCGTTGATCGGCGGATAGGTGAATGTGCCTTTGGCACTGGCGACCACCCACGCTTCGGCGAACGTCTCCATGGCGCTCTGGAAGTCCATTGTGGAGAAATCGTCGTTACCCGACTTTGCGGTGGGCTCGCGACGACGTAATAATGTTTACGACGAGGGCTTTTCGGAAAACCGTCCGGGCGATGGTCGGGCCTTGATTTTTCAAAAGGAAAAATAAAAAATAAATATCTTTAAACCGCGCCCCCGATGTCTTGGCAACGCGGGCAATTAGTAATAACGGTTATTGGCGCGGCGCCGCTGTATCGGCGGTGATCGCATTCGTTGCTGTGTTGGGCGCGTGAAGTCGCGTGCGTGTCGGTCGGACGAGCGGCGTGCGCGGCAGAGAAGAAGCGGACAACAGGACGCGGCCACGCGGTGCGTTCGGAGCCGACTGAACTTCGTGGCAGCATGTACCGTGCCGTCGTCGGTCGGACGCGATATTCGAACGACGGCGCCTCCTCCCCACCCCCGCCGCTGTCGTCGACCACGTCGTCTTTCGCGCTCGCCCGCCGCCGCCGCATCGTCCGCGCCCAAGCGTGTCCCGCGAAAACCGCGGACGACGACGGCGTCTTTTACCGCGCGCGCCCGCGGACGACATAAATACGCCCTCTCCGGCGTTTCGGGACCCGCCTTCGAGCGGATTCCTCTTCGCCGCTTTTGTGACGTATAATAATAATTTTAATATTAAAACACGGTACAAAACACCTCCGCTCGCACAAAAGCCCCGGATTCGCGTATCCGCGAACCGGCTGCGCGCACCCCGCGTTTACCTACCGTGTGTGCATCCTTTAAACAGGTAAATAGTCGCGGGACAGGTGTGCGTGCCGTGTTATAATTATTATACGACGTACGTATTACTGTATAGCGCAAAGTCCCGTATACTCCCCCCCCCCTCATCACATCCCATCCCATCCGTTTTACCGAAATCGGTCTCCTGTTCGAATGCGATTTATCATTATTATTTATTATAATAATAATTTCGCACATAGTTACATTTCACATTGTACGTAGATACGTACGTAATAAGTGTATTATTATGTTATAGTGAGTGTAAAAATATGTTTTCCCATTTTTAACGATTTATCAGTGGCGCACGTATTGTGCAGTAGTGTTACGGATTTTATCCGGTGTGGAGGGCTGAAGGAAATTGGCTATATCATTCACTATTGATAGTATAACAACAAAAATCGATAAGTTTATTACGTACTAGCCGTATGTTATATGTATGACGTAATTTATTCTTTTACATTCTTAATATAAGTAATTAAAACCATGGTTATTATTATTCCATATTATATTAATGTATCATAATATAATGATTCAATGATCACGTTATGTAAGTATATAATTTTAACTATGGTATACGTTATGAATAAAAATTATTTTTATATCAATTTTCTTATGATGAAATTATATCGTTTTATAAATTATGTAGTATTAATTATTATTTATATTATCCTAGTTGTTCAATTAACGTATTGATAAATGATAGTTATAGTGATGGAACAAGGATTAATAAATGGAACCGAATGATTCAAATTGCCAGTGATATTTGATGAGTATATTTTATATTATCTCAGTTAAGCAACTAATTATAATTTTAAATACAAGTAGTATACAACAAATAAAATATGAAGGCCAAAGGAATTGGTAACTTCCTAGTTGTATTATAGGTAACGATTAATCAGAATAAAGTAAAAACAAAATTTTAATTAGGTGCCTATTTTTAGATTTACTTTTTTGAAAACTCGAAAAAAATACATAACAAATTATGATAGGAATATTTAATAGTTGTAATATATACATATAGTACTACATTAAAGTTTTAAAATATAGCTTTCCAAACAGTACCGACATTTTACAAATTAATAGTTAACAATTTTTAAACCTATAAATTATTACACCATATTGTCATAAATATAGTATTACAATGATGATTGATGACATTTTTTCACCAAATTGTATTATTATGTTAGAATTGTTAGATACACATCAATAGTTCAATAGTACAACATAATAAGGTTTGTGACAATCACCTAACGCTATTTCATTGAAAATTATTTTTAGATTTATAGGTACTAGCGCATTTTAGGTAGCTATTACATTAGATCGACCAACGGCAGTCATCAGTTTTGATTCATCACTACTATAACAATAATAATTATTATGATTATTATGAATGTCGAGTGTCGACTGTGTGTGACATGAAAACCACGTTTGGGCAATTCAGTCCATTTGATTTTACCGTTGTCACCGTTGTATACCATGTACGTATGTACTCAGAGACTCAGAGTAAAAAAAGTTGAGCTAATGAGTCAAAAACGCAAATCGGTTGATACTAGGTAGTAGTACTCTGCTTAACTATAAAATTTCAAAAATCAATGATTCGCTCTATTCTCAAGAACTATTTGTTTCACCGTCACCATCTGGTATTGTTAGTAATATTATGAAAATTTTTCTTCTTACGACATTATCATTATTGGCATTATTTATCAATAAAAAACTCAACGGTAAAGAAAAAATTGAAATTTTATAAAATGTGTGGGTCCCTCCCTAGTAATAATTTTAATTTTCCTAATCAACAAATTGAAAATCAAAATAGAAAATCTTATATATTTTAGTTGATTAAATATTAACAACTAATGTATTTAAAAAATAAAGATTTGCGTATTATTGCCACTTCTTGAAGCTATAGTTATAGTTCCAATACTTCTAACCAATCATCTAATACACTTATTGAAAAAGGGGTATAATCTTCGTAAAAAGGGCTTAGAAAATTCGAAAAAAACAAAAATTTAAATTAACATAAAGAAGCTATAATTTAAAAGTTAACCATTTTATGGATGTCATGTCAGGAAAAATATTATCGATTAATAAAGAAATTGACAAAGTTTATTACCAACAGGTTTTAGAAAATCAAGAAATACTTAAATCTACAATATAAATAATCATTTCATATGGACGTCAATGTCTATCACTTAAAGCACAACGAGATTATAGAAGTTTGACATCGAATAAGAACCCAGGCGCAACGAAGGTAATTTTTAGAGTTGCTTAGAGACATGAATTGATTCAGAGGACACAAATTTAAAACAACATTAAGTGATTTGCGAAAAAAATTGAACGTATATTAGTTGGAATATCTATTCAAAATTATATATGATAATAATAATAATAATAAAAAGAATAATTATTTAAAAATGAGTGGTAATTGTTTACGCGCGTGTGTGTGTGTTAGGAAAATAGGAAAATGTTTAAACACCCTCCTCAAAAAAAAAAAAAAATTCTTGGTGTACACCTGGTCAAGGTAGTTCAGTTTAAAATACTTTACAATAAAACTTTTAGCAATCGGAAAAATTTGAAAATAAATACACAAAAAAAATGTGATAGGTATTTATAATATATATTTATTTTTTTTAATATTAATGATATTTATAATTTTTAATCAACTGACCATTGACTATATTAATGTAGTAATATTTAGATCAGCACATAAAACTGTTATTTTTTTTTAGCGGTTTCAATAAAGTAATAAGAAAAATAGAAGTAATAAATATTTCTATTTTTTTTCAATCTTCTTTGAATAATTATAGATCCTTTGGGGGTGTATAACGATTCCGCCGAATTTATATCGATTCCGTCGGCTATTGACTCCGCCGGCTACCCTTTATAATATCTACTTATTGATTCCGCCAGCTACTATTTATCCTTCCCTTCACCCTTGTAAATCTATTATAAATGATTCAGAAATTTTCGGAAAGTTACCACATCCAACCAACGTTTGACTACATTATTAGGTACTTATCATACTTAATTGGTATTTATTTACGAATCAAATTTATTCGATTGCATAAAAAATAATTTGTCTTCGAATAAATGCTAATAAAAAATAATTTTGTACCTATTTCTGCAATAAGTTATGTGAACATTATCATAGATGGGTTCAAAATAAAATCGTACAACTTGTTCCAGTCGAAATTCTGTAATTAAATTATTAATTATATAAAATAACAATAATAATGCAGTATACATATATTTATAGTATATGATTGTTATTGATGATCAACGACGTCGTTATTTCGGGATAAAAATAAAAATCAATTATATCCATACATGAATAGATATTTTTACATAATTGCTTACAATACATTTCAAAACGTTATCTCATCGCCAGTCAAAATAATGAATCGACACCGCCGATCAGGATGATATTATTATATTGAAACCGTTAAAAAATATAAATTAATATGGTTAACTTTCATCTATTAGTAATATTACTTAAATTATAAAAAGATTTTGGCTCCCTAGTAGTCATGGCACCCGGTGCATACGCATGTCTCGCACCCCCCTAGGCATGGCACTGTTAAGTGGTAGTATCCCAAAAAGGAACTCGTGTTATAATATGTTATTTCCATTCATTTTGATCAAGTTGCATGTTAACTAGGTACGTTTCGAGTGATATCTATGTTGTACGGAGACTGATATTGGGCTCAGACTAATGGAGCCAATGGAGGCTTACACCAATTTAAGTAACCACGGCTATGTGCATAAAACTGTTAATCATCTTCACTCTATTAATCTGAAAACAGAGGTCAATACTCAATCTATATAGAATTTACATGGAGACGTTTCAAAGTATAATACGGCATATACACACGCGGTGTCACCAACTTATTGGAACGGCAGTTTATGAAAGAATGGTGGTCCTCAATTAATGCATTCAAGAACCTTTTCGAACAGTTTTTTGAAGACGTGAAAAAAATGTCTTCAATGTAATAATACCCAGATGGTAAACGACACCTATTATCTACTAATTGCGGAATAGAAAGATATAGATAACATACTTCGCCAACAAAAAATTGTGATAGATATATTTTTTATGTAGATAACATACAACGCTAATTCCTCCAATAAATTATATAGAAAAAAAATGGTTTTTTTTTTAATAATTCAAAAGTTTATACAAATTTCAACAAATTACATTTTTACTATTTTTATCATTATTATTATTTTGTTGAATAACAGCATATATTTTACTAATAAATTTTCAATATAGACGTAGAATATTTTAATGATTGTATAAGTAGTTGTTTAAAAATCTAATTTTATTCAAACTAGTAATTAATTATTTGTAAATATATTTTTAAGATGTAATTACTAGAAAATACCGTGCAAGATATTGATCCAATAACATTTTGTCTAGTATCTATACTCCACTCAACTTCTCTATCGGAGTACAAATTTAAAATGTATATTACTATTCAAAATTAAGGTAACCTATAGAAATTAAAAACTAAAATGTTTATTTTTTTTTTTTAAATGTTTTGTAATGCCTTAAAATTTTTAAATAATATAATGTAGTGATGTAA